TAAGCTAACCACCCTCCCCTCCTCCCTTTAATCATTGCTTGCAGAGCCAATAAAGTCATTGTTGCTTCACATTCATGCATTCTTTATTCATTCATCACACAAATAGGGGGATGACTACCAAGGTAGCCCAGGAGGGGTGGTGGAGGAGGGAAGGAAAATGCCACACAGCACTTTAAGCACAGCACTTTAAAAGTTTACAACTGTAAATTTATTGAATGCCAGCCTTTCTTTTTTTGGGCAATCCTCTGTGGTGGAGTGGCTGATTGGCCGGTGGCCCCCCCACCATGTTCTTGGGCGTCTGGGTGTGGAGGCTATGGAACTTGGGGAGGAGGGCAGTTGGTTACACAGGGGCTGTAGTGGCAGTCTGTGGTCCAGCTGCCTTTGCTACAGCTCAACCATACACTGGAGCATACTGGTTTGGTCCTCCAGCAGCCTCAGCATTGAATCCTGCCTCCTCTCATCACGCTGCCGCCACATTTGAGCTTCAGCCCTGTCTTCAGCCCGCCACTTACTCTCTTCAGCCCGCCACCTCTCCTCCCGGTCATTTTGTGCTTTCCTGCACTCTGACATTATTTGCCTCCACGCATTCGTCTGTGCTCTGTCAGTGTGGGAGGACAGCATGAGCTCGGAGAACATTTCATCGCGAGTGCATTTTTTTTTTCTTTCTAAGCTTCACTAGCCTCTGGGAAGGAGAAGATCCTGTGATCATTGAAACACATGCAGCTGGTGGAGAAAAAAAAAGGGACAGCGGTATTTAAAAAGACACATTTTATAAAACAGTGGCTACACGCTTTCAGGGTAAACCTTGCTGTTAACATTACATACATAGCACATGTGCTTTCGTTACAAGGTCGCATTTTGCCTCCCCCCACAGCATGGCTACCCCCTCAACCCTCCCCCCTCCCTATGGCTAACAGCGGGGAACATTTCTTTTTAGCCACAGGCAAACAGCCCAGCAGGAATGGGCTCCTCTGAGTGTCCCCTGAAGAAAAGCACTCTATTTCAACCAGGTGACCATGAATTATATCTCACTCTCCTGAGGATAACACAGAGAGATAAAGAACGGATGTTGTTTGAACGCCAGCAAACATACACTACAATGATTCCCGAGTACGTGTTACTGGCCTGGAGTGGTAAAGTGTCCTACCATGAAGGACGCAATAAGGCTGCCCGCCCCAGAAACCTTTTGCAAAGGCTTTGGGAGTACATCCAGGAGAGCCGCGAATGCCAGGGCAAAGTAATCCTTTCACATGCTTGCTTTTAAACCATGTATAGTATTTTAAAAGGTACACTCACCGGAGGTCCCTTCTCCGCCTGCTGGGTCCAGGAGGCAGCCTTGGGTGGGTTTGGGGGGTACTGGCTCCAGGTCCAGGGTGAGAAACAGTTCCTGGCTGTCAGGAAAACCGGTTTCTCCGCTTGCTTGCTGTGAGCTATCTACAACCTCATCATCATCATCATCTTCTTCGTCCCCAAAACCTGCTTCCGTATTGCCTCCATCTCCATTGAAGGAGTCAAACAACACGGCTGGGGTAGTGGTGGCTGAACCCCCTAAAATGGCATGCAGCTCATCATAGAAGCAGCATGTTTGGGGCTCTGACCCGGAGCGGCCGTTCGCCTCTCTGGTTTTCTGGTAGGCTTGCCTCAGCTCCTTCAGTTTCACACGGCACTGCTTCGGGTCCCTGTTATGGCCTCTGTCCTTCATGCCCTGGGAGATTTTGACAAAGGTTTTAGCATCTCGAAAACTGGAACGGAGTTCTGATAGCACGGATTCCTCTCCCCATACAGCGATCAGATCCCGTACCTCCCGTTTGGTCCATGCTGGAGCTCTTTTGCGATTCTGGGACTCCATCATGGTCACCTCAGCTGATGAGCTCTGCATGGTCACCTGCAGCTTGCCACGCTGGCCAAACAGGAAATGAGATTCAAAAGTTTGCGGTTCTTTTCCTGTCTACCTGGCTAGTGCATCTTAGTTGAGAGTGCTGTCCAGAGCGGTCACAATGGAGCACTCTGGGATAGCTCCCGGAGGCCAATACCATCAAATTGTGTCCACAGTACCCCAAATTCGAGCCGGCAAGGCCAATTTAAGCGCTAATCCACTTGTCAGGGGTGGAGTAAGGAAATCGATTTTAAGAGCCCTTTAAGTCAAAATAAAGGGTTTCATCGTGTGGACGGGTGCAGGTTTACATCGATTTAATGCTGCTAAATTCAACCTAAAGTCCTAGGGTATGTCTACACTATGAAATTAGGTCGAATTTATAGAAGTCGGTTTTTTAGAAATCGGTTTTATATATTCGAGTGTGTGTGTCCCCACAGAAAATGCTCTAAGTGCATTAAGTGCATTAACTCGGCGGAGCGCTTCCACAGTACCGAGGCAAGCGTCGACTTCCGGAGCGTTGCACTGTGGGTAGCTATCCCACAGTTCCCGCAGTCTCCGCTGCCCATTGGAATTCTGGGTTGAGATCCCAATGCCTGATGGGGCTAAAACATTGTCGCGGGTGGTTCTGGGTACATATCGTCAGCCCCCCGTTCCCTCCCTCCCCCCGTGAAAGCAAGGGCAGACAATCATTTCGCGCCTTTTTTCCTGAGTTACCTGTGCAGACGCCATACCATGGCAAGCATGGAGCCCGCTCAGGTATCCGTCACCCTATGTCTCCTGGGTGCTGGCAGACGCGGTACGGCATTGCTACACAGTAGCAGCAACCCCTTGCCTTGTGGCAGCAGACGGTACAGTACGACTGGTAGCCGTCATCGTCATGTCTGAGGTGCTCCTGGTCGCCTCTGTGAGGTCGATCAGGAGCGCCTGGGCAGACATGGGCACAGGGACTAAATTTGGAGTGACTTGACCAGGTCATTCTCTTTAGTCCTGCAGTCAGTCCTATTGAACCGTCTTATGGTGAGCGGGCAGGCGATACGGATTGCTAGCAGTCGTACTGTACCATCTTCTGCCGAGCAGCCATGAGATGTGGATGGCATGCAGTCCTTCTGCACCGTCTGCTGCCAGCCAAAGATGTAAAAGATAGATGGAGTGGGTCAGAACAAGAAATAGACCAGATTTGTTTTGTACTCATTTGCCTCCTCCCCTGTCTAGGGGACTCATTCCTCTAGGTCACACTGCAGTCACTCACAGAGAAGGTGCAGCGAGGTAAATCTAGCCATGTATCAATCAGAGGCCAGGCTAACCTCCTTGTTCCAATAACAACGATAACTTAGGTGCACCATTTCTTATTGGAACCCTCCGTGCAGTCCTGCCTGAAATACTCCTTGATGTACAGGCACCCCCTTTGTTGATTTTAGCTCCCTGAAGCCAACCCTGTAAGCCGTGTCGTCAGTCGCCCCTCCCTCCGTCAGGGCAACGGCAGACAATCCTTCCGCGCCTTTTTTCTGTGCGGACGCCATACCAAGGCAAGCATGGAGGCCGCTCAGCTCACTTTGGCAATTAGGAGCACATTAAACACCACACGCATTATCCAGCAGTATATGCAGCACCAGAACATGGCAACGCGATACCGGGCGAGGAGGCGACGTCAGCGCGGTCCCGTGAGTGATCAGGACATGGACACAGATTTCTCTGAAAGCATGGGCCCTGACAATGCATGCATCATGGTGCTAATGGGGCAGGTTCATGCTGTGGAACGCCGATTCGGGGCTTGGGAAACAAGCACAGACTGGTGGGACCGCATAGTGTTGCAGGTCTGGGACGATTCCCAGTGGCTACGAAACTTTCGCATGTTTAAGGGCACTCTCATGGAACTTTGTGACTTGCTTTCCCCTGCCCTGAGGCGCATGAATACCAAGATGAAAGCAGCCCTCACAGTTGAGAAGCGAGAGGTTATAGCCCTGTGGAAGCTTGCAACGCCAGACAGCTACCGGTCAGTTGGGAATCAATTTGGAGTGGGCAAATCTACTGTTGGGGCTGCTGTGATGCAAGTAGCCCACGCAATCAAAGATCTGCTGATATCAAGGGTAGTGACCCTGGGAAATGTGCAGGTCATAGTGGATGGCTTTGCTGCAATGGGATTCCCTAACTGTGGTGGGGCTATAGATGGAACCCATATCCCTATCTTGGCACCGGAGTACCAAGCCGCCGAGTACATAAACCGCAAGGGGTACTTTTCAATAGTGCTGCAAGCTCTGGTGGATCACGAGGGATGTTTCACCAACATCAACGTGGGATGGCCGTGAAAAGGTACATGACGTGGGAAAGGTACATGACGCTCGCATCTTCAGGAACTCTGGTCTGTGTCAAAAGCTGCAGGAAGGGACTTTATTCCCAGACCAGAAAATAACTGTTGGGGATGTTGAAATGCCTATATGTATCCTTGGGGACCAGCCTACCCCTTAATGCCATGGCTCATGAAGCCGTACACAGGCAGCCTGGACAGAAGTCAGGAGCTGTTCAACTACAGGCTGAGCAAGTGCAGAATGGTGGTAGAATGTGCATTTGGACGTTTAAAGGCGCGCTGACGCAGTTTACTGACTCGCTTAGACCTCAGCGAAACCAATATTCCCACTGTCATTACTGCTTGCTGTGTGCTCCACAATATCTGTGAGAGTAAGGGGGAGACGTTTATGGCGGGGTGGGAGGTTGAGGCAAATCGCCTGGCTGCTGGTTACGTGCAGCCAGACACCAGGGCGGTTAGAAGAGCACAGGAGGGCGCGGTACGCATCAGAGAAGCTTTGAAAACCAGTTTCATGACTGGCCAGGCTACGGTGTGAAAGTTCTGTTTGTTTCTCCTTGATGAACCGCCCCCGCCCCTTGGTTCACTCTACTTCACTGTAAGCTAACCACCCTCCCCTCCTCCCTTTAATCATTGCTTGCAGAGCCAATAAAGTCATTGTTGCTTCACATTCATGCATTCTTTATTCATTCATCACACAAATAGGGGGATGACTACCAAGGTAGCCCAGGAGGGGTGGTGGAGGAGGGAAGGAAAATGCCACACAGCACTTTAAGCACAGCACTTTAAAAGTTTACAACTGTAAATTTATTGAATGCCAGCCTTCTTTTTTTTGGGCAATCCTCTGTGGTGGAGTGGCTGATTGGCCGGTGGCCCCCCCACCATGTTCTTGGGCGTCTGGGTGTGGAGGCTATGGAACTTGGGGAGGAGGGCAGTTGGTTACACAGGGGCTGTAGTGGCAGTCTGTGGTCCAGCTGCCTTTGCTACAGCTCAACCATACACTGGAGCATACTGGTTTGGTCCTCCAGCAGCCTCAGCATTGAATCCTGCCTCCTCTCATCACGCTGCCGCCACATTTGAGCTTCAGCCCTGTCTTCAGCCCGCCACTTACTCTCTTCAGCCCGCCACCTCTCCTCCCGGTCATTTTGTGCTTTCCTGCACTCTGACATTATTTGCCTCCACGCATTCGTCTGTGCTCTGTCAGTGTGGGAGGACAGCATGAGCTCGGAGAACATTTCATCGCGAGTGCATTTTTTTTTCTTTCTAAGCTTCACTAGCCTCTGGGAAGGAGAAGATCCTGTGATCATTGAAACACATGCAGCTGGTGGAGAAAAAAAAGGGACAGCGGTATTTAAAAAGACACATTTTATAAAACAGTGGCTACACGCTTTCAGGGTAAACCTTGCTGTTAACATTACATACATAGCACATGTGCTTTCGTTACAAGGTCGCATTTTGCCTCCCCCCACAGCATGGCTACCCCCTCAACCCTCCCCCCTCCCTATGGCTAACAGCGGGGAACATTTCTTTTTAGCCACAGGCAAACAGCCCAGCAGGAATGGGCTCCTCTGAGTGTCCCCTGAAGAAAAGCACTCTATTTCAACCAGGTGACCATGAATTATATCTCACTCTCCTGAGGATAACACAGAGAGATAAAGAACGGATGTTGTTTGAACGCCAGCAAACATACACTACAATGATTCCCGAGTACGTGTTACTGGCCTGGAGTGGTAAAGTGTCCTACCATGAAGGACGCAATAAGGCTGCCCGCCCCAGAAACCTTTTGCAAAGGCTTTGGGAGTACATCCAGGAGAGCCGCGAATGCCAGGGCAAAGTAATCCTTTCACATGCTTGCTTTTAAACCATGTATAGTATTTTAAAAGGTACACTCACCGGAGGTCCCTTCTCCGCCTGCTGGGTCCAGGAGGCAGCCTTGGGTGGGTTTGGGGGGTACTGGCTCCAGGTCCAGGGTGAGAAACAGTTCCTGGCTGTCAGGAAAACCGGTTTCTCCGCTTGCTTGCTGTGAGCTATCTACAACCTCATCATCATCATCATCTTCTTCGTCCCCAAAACCTGCTTCCGTATTGCCTCCATCTCCATTGAAGGAGTCAAACAACACGGCTGGGGTAGTGGTGGCTGAACCCCCTAAAATGGCATGCAGCTCATCATAGAAGCAGCATGTTTGGGGCTCTGACCCGGAGCGGCCGTTCGCCTCTCTGGTTTTCTGGTAGGCTTGCCTCAGCTCCTTCAGTTTCACACGGCACTGCTTCGGGTCCCTGTTATGGCCTCTGTCCTTCATGCCCTGGGAGATTTTGACAAAGGTTTTAGCATCTCGAAAACTGGAACGGAGTTCTGATAGCACGGATTCCTCTCCCCATACAGCGATCAGATCCCGTACCTCCCGTTTGGTCCATGCTGGAGCTCTTTTGCGATTCTGGGACTCCATCATGGTCACCTCAGCTGATGAGCTCTGCATGGTCACCTGCAGCTTGCCACGCTGGCCAAACAGGAAATGAGATTCAAAAGTTTGCGGTTCTTTTCCTGTCTACCTGGCTAGTGCATCTTAGTTGAGAGTGCTGTCCAGAGCGGTCACAATGGAGCACTCTGGGATAGCTCCCGGAGGCCAATACCATCAAATTGTGTCCACAGTACCCCAAATTCGAGCCGGCAAGGCCAATTTAAGCGCTAATCCACTTGTCAGGGGTGGAGTAAGGAAATCGATTTTAAGAGCCCTTTAAGTCAAAATAAAGGGTTTCATCGTGTGGACGGGTGCAGGTTTACATCGATTTAATGCTGCTAAATTCAACCTAAAGTCCTAGGGTATGTCTACACTATGAAATTAGGTCGAATTTATAGAAGTCGGTTTTTTAGAAATCGGTTTTATATATTCGAGTGTGTGTGTCCCCACAGAAAATGCTCTAAGTGCATTAAGTGCATTAACTCGGCGGAGCGCTTCCACAGTACCGAGGCAAGCGTCGACTTCCGGAGCGTTGCACTGTGGGTAGCTATCCCACAGTTCCCGCAGTCTCCGCTGCCCATTGGAATTCTGGGTTGAGATCCCAATGCCTGATGGGGCTAAAACATTGTCGCGGGTGGTTCTGGGTACATATCGTCAGCCCCCGTTCCCTCCCTCCCCCGTGAAAGCAAGGGCAGACAATCATTTCGCGCCTTTTTTCCTGAGTTACCTGTGCAGACGCCATACCATGGCAAGCATGGAGCCCGCTCAGGTATCCGTCACCCTATGTCTCCTGGGTGCTGGCAGACGCGGTACGGCATTGCTACACAGTAGCAGCAACCCCTTGCCTTGTGGCAGCAGACGGTACAGTACGACTGGTAGCCGTCATCGTCATGTCTGAGGTGCTCCTGGTCGCCTCTGTGAGGTCGATCAGGAGCGCCTGGGCAGACATGGGCACAGGGACTAAATTTGGAGTGACTTGACCAGGTCATTCTCTTTAGTCCTGCAGTCAGTCCTATTGAACCGTCTTATGGTGAGCGGGCAGGCGATACGGATTGCTAGCAGTCGTACTGTACCATCTTCTGCCGAGCAGCCATGAGATGTGGATGGCATGCAGTCCTTCTGCACCGTCTGCTGCCAGCCAAAGATGTAAAAGATAGATGGAGTGGGTCAGAACAAGAAATAGACCAGATTTGTTTTGTACTCATTTGCCTCCTCCCCTGTCTAGGGGACTCATTCCTCTAGGTCACACTGCAGTCACTCACAGAGAAGGTGCAGCGAGGTAAATCTAGCCATGTATCAATCAGAGGCCAGGCTAACCTCCTTGTTCCAATAACAACGATAACTTAGGTGCACCATTTCTTATTGGAACCCTCCGTGCAGTCCTGCCTGAAATACTCCTTGATGTACAGGCACCCCCTTTGTTGATTTTAGCTCCCTGAAGCCAACCCTGTAAGCCGTGTCGTCAGTCGCCCCTCCCTCCGTCAGGGCAACGGCAGACAATCCTTCCGCGCCTTTTTTCTGTGCGGACGCCATACCAAGGCAAGCATGGAGGCCGCTCAGCTCACTTTGGCAATTAGGAGCACATTAAACACCACACGCATTATCCAGCAGTATATGCAGCACCAGAACATGGCAACGCGATACCGGGCGAGGAGGCGACGTCAGCGCGGTCCCGTGAGTGATCAGGACATGGACACAGATTTCTCTGAAAGCATGGGCCCTGACAATGCATGCATCATGGTGCTAATGGGGCAGGTTCATGCTGTGGAACGCCGATTCGGGGCTCGGGAAACAAGCACAGACTGGTGGGACCGCATAGTGTTGCAGGTCTGGGACGATTCCCAGTGGCTACGAAACTTTCGCATGCGTAAGGGCACTTTCATGGAACTTTGTGACTTGCTTTCCCCTGCCCTGAGGCGCATGAATACCAAGATGAGAGCAGCCCTCACAGTTGAGAAGCGAGTGGTGATAGCCCTGTGGAAGCTTGCAACGCCAGACAGCTACCGGTCAGTTGGGAATCAATTTGGAGTGGGCAAATCTACTGTGGGGGCTGCTGTGATGCAAGTAGCCCACGCAATCAAAGATCTGCTGATATCAAGGGTAGTGACCCTGGGAAATGTGCAGGTCATAGTGGATGGCTTTGCTGCAATGGGATTCCCTAACTGTGGTGGGGCTATAGATGGAACCCATATCCCTATCTTGGCACCGGAGTACCAAGCCGCCGAGTACATAAACCGCAAGGGGTACTTTTCGATAGTGCTGCAAGCTCTGGTGGATCACAAGGGACGTTTCACCAACATCAACGTGGGATGGCCGGGAAAGGTGCATGATGCTCGCATCTTCAGGAACTCTGGTCTGTTTCAAAAGCTGCAGGAAGGGACTTTATTCCCAGACCAGAAAATAACTGTTGGGGATGTTGAAATGCCTATATGTATCCTTGGGGACCCAGCCTACCCCTTAATGCCATGGCTCATGAAGCCGTACACAGGCAGCCTGGACAGTGGTCAGGAGCTGTTCAACTACAGGCTGAGCAAGTGCAGAATGGTGGTAGAATGTGCATTTGGACGTTTAAAGGCGCGCTGGCGCAGTTTACTGACTCGCTTAGACCTCAGCGAAACCAATATTCCCACTGTTATTACTGCTTGCTGTGTGCTCCACAATATCTGTGAGAGTAAGGGGGAGACGTTTATGGCGGGGTGGGAGGTTGAGGCAAATCGCCTAGCTGCTGGTTACGCGCAGCCAGACACCAGGGCGGTTAGAAGAGCACAGGAGGGCGCGGTACGCATCAGAGAAGCTTTGAAAACCAGTTTCATGACTGGCCAGGCTACGGTGTGAAAGTTCTGTTTGTTTCTCCTTGATGAACCCCCCCGCCCCTTGGTTCACTCTACTTCCCTGTAAGCTAACCACCCTCCCCTCCTCCCTTTAATCATTGCTTGCAGAGCCAATAAAGTCATTGCTGCTTCACAGTCATGCATTCGTTATTCATTCATGACACAAATAGGGGGATGACTACCAAGGTATCCCAGGAGGGGTGGTGGAGGAGGGAAGGAAAATGCCACACAGCACTTTAAGCACAGCACTTTAAAAGTTTACAACTTTAAAATTTATTGAATGACAGCCTTCTTTTTTTGGGGCAATCCTCTGTGGTGGAGTGGCTGGTTGGCCGGAGGCCCCCCCACCGCGTTCTTGGGTGTCTGGGTGTGGAGGCTATGGAACTTGGGGAGGAGGGCGGTTGGTTACACAGGGGCTGCAGTGGCAGTCTATGCTCCAGCTGCCTTTGCTACAGCTCAACCATACACTGGAGCATACTGGTTTGGTCCTGCAGCAGCCTCAGCATTGAATCCTGCCTCCTCTCATCACGCTGCCGCCACCTTTGAGCTTCAGCCCTGTCTTCAGCCCGCCACTTACTCTCTTCAGCCCGCCACTTACTCTCTTCAGCCCTCCACCTCTCCTCCCGGTCATTTTGTGCTTTCCTGCACTCTGACATTATTTGCCTCCACGCATTCGTCTGTGCTCTGTCAGTGTGGGAGGACAGCATGAGCTCGGAGAACATTTCATCGCGAGTGCATTTTTTTTTCTTTCTAAGCTTCACTAGCCTCTGGGAAGGAGAAGATCCTGTGATCATTGAAACACATGCAGCTGGTGGAGAAAAAAAAAGGGACAGCGGTATTTAAAAAGACACATTTTATAAAACAGTCGCTACACTCTTTCAGGGTAAACCTTGCTGTTAACATTACATACATAGCACATGTGCTTTCGTTACAAGGTCGCATTTTGCCTCCTCCCACCGCGTGAACGGATTTTGGTTGAATGCCAGCAAACATACACTGCAATGCTTTGTTCTACAGTGATTCCCGAGTACGTGTTACTGGCCTGGAGTGGTAAAGTGTCCTACCATGAAGGACGAAATAAGGATGCCCTCCCCAGAAACCTTTTGCAAAGGCAGAACCGCAAATGCCAGGGCAAAGTAATCCTTTCACATGCTTGCTTTTAAACCATGTATAGCATTTTAAAAGGTACACTCACCAGAGGTCCCTTCTCTGCCTGCTGAGTCCAGGAGGCAGCCTTGGGTGGGTTCGGGGGGTACTGGCTCCAGGTCTAGGGTGAGAAACAGTTCCTGGCTGTCGGGAAAACCGGTTTCTCCGCTTGCTTGCTGTGAGCTATCTACAACCTCCTCATCATCATCTTCTTCATCCCCAAAACCTACTTCCGTATTGCCTCCATCTCCATTGAAGGAGTCAAACAACACGGCTGGGGTAGTGGTGGCTGAACCCCCTAAAATGGCATGCAGCTCATCATAGAAGCGGCATGTTTGGGGCTCTGACCCAGAGCGGCTGTTCGCCTCTCTGGTTTTCTGGTAGGCTTGCCTCAGCTCCTTCAGTTTCACGCGGCACTGCTTCGGGTCCCTGTTATGGCCTCTGTCCTTCATGCCCTGGGAGATTTTGACAAAGGTTTTAGCATTTCGAAAACTGGAACGGAGTTCTGATAGCACGGATTCCTCTCCCCAAACAGCAATCAGATCCCGTACCTCCCGTTCGGTCCATGCTGGAGCTCTTTTGCGATTCTGGGACTCCATCATGGTCACCTGTGCTGATGAGCTCTGCATGGTCACCTGCAGCTTGCCACGCTGGCCAAACAGGAAATGAGATTCAAAAGTTTGCGGTTCTTTTCCTGTCTACCTGGCCAGTGCATCTGAGTTGAGAGTGCTGTCCAGAGCGGTCATAATGGAGCACTCTGGGATAGCTCCCGGAGGCCAATACCATCGAATTGTGTCCACAGTACCCCAAATTCGAGCCGGCAACGTCGATTTAAGCGCTAATCCACTTGTCAGGGGTGGAGTAAGGAAATCGATTTTAAGAGCCCTTTAAGTCGAAATAAAGGGCTTCATTGTGTGGACGGGTGCAGGTTTAAATCGATTTAACGCTGCTAAATTCGACCTAAAGTCCTAGTGTAGACCAGGGCCTAGTGTAGACCAGGGCTAAATGGCTTCTTGAGGTCCCTTCCAGCACTACATTTCTGTAATTCTATAAAGCAAAAAACCCTCTATTGAAATACCCTGGACAAGGAGAGCTTTTCAGAAAGGTAGCATTGAACATATTGGTAAGCTTATAGCAATTCTGTTTCTTTGTTGCTCTAAAACACCTTTATGCTCAGGGTAAAGGAGGAGGCTAAAGTGGCTTTAAATGCCTTTTGCATCCTCTTAATCCTAGGCTGTCCTGGGGGCTGGACAGGTCACTCATGTATATTCAGCAGCCCTAGAGACCTCACTAAGTTACAGCAGCATCCTTGGACTGTTCTGTGAGCCACAGCGCCATGGACTAAAGCCCTACCCCTTACACACCTCTCCCCCTCCCAGCATGCTCCTACAGCACCTGTATGACCATGCTCAGAGCACACCTTAGGGCTATCTTTTACAGAGCCTGTGCCAGGGGAATCCTCACCCAGAAACAATCCCGGTTTTTAGGCCACTTTACACCACTCTGGGTCTTTAATCCAGCACAAAGGGGTTGGCGTGGGGGTGAGGGTCTCATTCTTCTCTTCCATGCATGGAATACTATCCTGGAATTCCTTCCTTTATCAATGAAAACTATAAGGAGAATAGTTAGGAGAATGAAAAGGAGTACTTGTGGCACCTTAGAGACTAACCAATTTATTTGAGCATGAGCTTTCGTGAGCTACAGCTCACTTCATCAGATGTATACTGTGGAAACTGCAGCAGACTTTATATACACACAGAGAATATGAAACAATACCTCCTCCCACCCCACTGTCCTGCTGGTAATTAAATTGGTTAGTCTCTAAGGTGCCACAAGTACTCCTTTTCTTTTTGTGAATACAGACTAACACGGCTGTTCCTCTGAAACCAGTTAGGAGAATGTGTGTGTTAATGTCCCAGCTTGGGGTCACATTTTCCCAGTGATGTGATAAACAACTTCAGTGCCAAAGAGAGAATGAATTTCAAAGAGTTCTTTGTCCCCTTTCCAGCTTTAGGAAAGAGGAGACCTTAATTCCTCTTTGCAGCTGTTTTTCCAGCAGTGATCAGATTAAATTTTAGCTCCTTCCCTCCCACCCACCCCCACCCACCCCGCTCCCCACGAGCGTGTGCATTACAAAAACTGATTAATCTTTGAGCCTTGTATTAAGCAATGCAGAATATCTCCCAGCTTGGTTTGTGTTGCATTTTTGACCCCTTTGGAGACTGCAGTTATAGGCTTGGTTACTCTATCAGTCTCCATGCCTCAGTAAATAAAAGTAATATTCAGTCAGGGGCTGCATTTGCTCACTGGCTTATGCAGAAGTATAGCAACATTTCAAGCTTCACAAAAGAACCAGCATAAACCATTCAGTGGAGGACAATGGAGCTCTGCAAAGATACATCTGTGAAAATGAATGATGGGCACAGAATTCCTGTGGTCGGATTTGGTACCTATGCCCCCGATACAGTGAGTAAACCTTTTATAGATTATTCCAGAGTAGGAAATTTGTGTTTGTTGTATGAAGTTTGGTGCTGTGCATGAAAATGAGTGACTGACAGCACTAAGATCTAGATAGTGAGGGTAGGCACTGTACAGTTTCCTCCACAGAGCTCTCCATCCCGGCATGCAGCACTTTCTGCGGTTCCAACAATGGGCCCCATGCAGTTCTGCAGTGCACTTCATCTCTGACTTGCCATCAGGTTAGCTGTTCCATTCATGGACCCACAGCCTCTCTGCAATACACATCAGTCCTGACCTGCTGCTTGCTTTGCTATTCCAGTTCTTTCCTCATTTAACTGTCAATTGTTCTATACCGGGTAGTTTTTATACACTTGTTAAGGATTTCTATACTGCGATATTTGGAATCCAGCTATTTGTTCTCTATTGTGTTGTATTTTCTAAGTGCCTGTAAGTTTACAACTGCAGCTCCTATTGCTGTTTTGGGGAGTCCATTCCACACCTGAATTCCACATGCTGTGCTTAAAGGCATGTCTACACGACTTTCAGAGCTTTAATTTATGCTCCATTGTTTTTCACCCTCTTACTCTCTTGAGTAATTTTGTGTCATCCTCTCTGGGCCATTCAAAATGTTATGCACTTCAATCAGGACATGTGCCCTCAGCACTACCCTGTATTTCAGGAACATCCCTCCAACGATAATACTAAGCTGATGACAGATGAGTGTCCCTTTTGAGTGAGGAGGGAGAAGAAGTTGGTGATCTTATTTGTAACTTAATTACTGCTCAGAGTCTCCCAGCAGCAGCTGTTATTTTTCTTCTCTCTCACTCTCTGATTGTGTAGCTACATGTAAATACATGTTCTGTGCCAGATAAACAATAAATGTGCTGACACCATTCAAAACTGTATTTGCTTCATGGGGTGAGCAAACAAAGACTGACCTTGAAAAGAATAGGGGACTTAGGTAATGGGATACAAAGCCTTTTATCTCTTTGTCACTCCCGGGTTCAGAGTCCACCCAAATTAGTAGTGACTAAAAATCACGATATTGTACTTACAGCTCTCTCACCCATAGATCCCAAGCACTTTGCAATGGAAGGTAAGTATCACTATCCTAATTCTATACATGGGGAAACTGAAGAAAAGAACTTGCCCAAGACCCAAATCTTGAAATCAAATGAGCGTGGGCAGGCTCTTGAGCCCATGCAAAATCCCTTTGATGTCACACTCACTCATGTACAGGTTACCATCTTTCAGTTTCCCAAAAAGAGGACACTGCCTCGGGAGTGGGGGGAGCTGCAGGGGGGTACAGCTGGGGGGTGCTGGAGGGATATGTGTGTACTGTGGTGGGGTATTTGGGGGGGGGGTGCTGGAGGGATGTGTGTACTGGGAGCATAGGTGCTGGAACTAGGGTACTGGCTTGAAGTGGTTTCCATCATATATAGGGTTACAGTTTGGTTCAATGGCTCTCAGCACCCCCTCTATACAAATTGTTCCAGTACCCCTGTCTGGGAGGAGGTACTTGGGGTGTGTGAGAGGAGGGTTTTTGTGGGTGGCAGAGGGATCTGTGTATTGGGAGTGGTATTTGAGGGGTGCTGGAGGGGTCTGTGTATTGGGAGTGGTATTTGAGGGGTGCTGGAGGGGTCTGTGTACTGGGAGTGGTATTTGAGGGGTGCTGGAGGCGGTGTGTGTACTGGAGGGGGTATTTGGGTGGGGCTCAAGGGGGCACCTGCGGCCTCACCTTGAGGTGGGGAGCATTGTTGCTCCCTGTCACGGTGGCAGGGCAGCTGGCATAGGTCCAAGACGTGGTGCCAGCCATCAGTCAGCGCCTCCCTGCTTCTCCTCCTTCCCAGGTCTGGGAGTGGGGGCCTACGTGGGCAGAATCTGGCAGATGCAGCTGCAGAGGAGGGACCAATCAGGGAACAGAGACAGCTCTTTCTGAGCTTGCAACACCTGCTCCACAAAAATCCTGGACATTTTATCTTATTTGAAAAGTTCACCTATCAGGGGACTGCGTGGGTCAAACCTTTTGCTCCTTACTCGATTGTTATTCAGTCCTTCAGGAACTTTCATTGACTCAGATAAATAAGGACCTGAGACATTGATTCATTGTGCAGATTATCAGCATTCCAATGGTTTAACTTGTGATACTCTCTGATGAATCAAAGGTTACTGAAATCAATGGAGGTTGCACTGGTGTAAATGAGGCCAGAACTTGCCCCCTCACTTTTAGGTGATTAGTGACTAAAAGTGTGATTCTAGTTTGAAAAGGGATTCTGTAAAAATTACAGTGTGGTTCCATATTATTGTCTTTCAAGTGATTTCAGGATTAAATGTGGTCAATTTACAACTAAAAAATGTATTTTCTGACTCCTAGGGCTGTGAAAATGACATTCAACAAGAGAGGCAAGCTGTGTTGTTTTCTTCTTATGTATCATCATCAGGAAAAGGATCGTGAAGGCCAAATTCTGGTCTCAGTGACACCTGTGCCATCCCGTTATCTTTAATAGATTGGCCTATAGAATTTAATAGGGATGAAAGTAATAAGATTTTTTAGCAATTAAATAGAGTTCTTTAAATGGTGTCTAAAAGCTTATTGAATGTAATAGAAATGTATCACTTTTCTGAAACATTTTTAAACCAATGTGAGACTTTATTAGAGAATTACATCTGTTCTATAGAATGTGTAGATTGGTTTAAAAATTCTGTAGAACTATGGTCATTGTCTATTAAATTCTATAGGACTTTTCCATAATGGCAAATTTACTTTTTTCACTAACGTAAGCAGAGGTGAGTGTGAATACACACAGAGAAAGCGTCTGAGTAAGAAGGTGACATTTTTACACGGTCACTTTTCATACTGGAACCACACTTTAAAATATCATCCCTAAGCCAGACATGTTTGAGGCTTTCTGTTTTTAATTCATAGGTTCCAAAAAGTAAGTGTGAGGAGGCTGTAAAGGTGGCCATTGAAGTTGGCTACCGCCATATAGATGGAGCCTATTTCTATGAGAATGAGGAAGAGGTTGGGCGAGCCATTCGAGAGAAGATTGCAGATGGAACGGTCAAAAGAGAGGACATATTTTACACAGGAAAGGTAATTTTGTTCTAAATCCCATCACTCGTTCTCTGCTTTTTTCTATGCTGCCTTTCGGCAGCAAGAAAACAGTGACTTTAGTGAAGGGGTTAGTACAAGTTGTAGCAGGCTGACAGGATTTGCCTGAAACACCCCTCTTGTTACCAGGTGCTAATCACATGGGAAAAGTGTTAAATGCATTTAGTGCCAGCTGGAGCTTTAGCAGGCATGGTGCCTATATACAGTTACCAGATGAAAACTATATTTTACTGAAGTTAAGGGAGAGTACGTGTTAGTAACCTAAGGGTAAAAGCATTAGAAGGGATGCTGTAATTATCCCCAAGCCAATCATTACAGACCAGGTGACAGAGATTTAAAGTTACACTTGAAAGAAATCCAAATATGGTAAGCTATGGAAATACACAGGTTAGGCACCTAAACGATCTTAACTCTGGTAACTGTAACTATGCGTGCAATAGCCATATAATTAGGATTGGTGCGTTATTTGTGGTCCGAGACTGGATTAAATTGATTTTGAAAGACACATTAGTTGTTTCCAATTTCTACCCTCATGGTGCCCGTAGAGGACAGAGTTCCTGTATGAATGTTCACTTTTTCGTGCTGCAGGGTATGATGATGCAACATTAATTAAATGTTGGGCACACATAGACTTTGTATATTATTAAAATTAAAATTTGGATAAAATAATGCATAATATACTGTAGATACCATAAAGAAAAGGAGTACTTGTGGCACCTTAGAGACTAACCAATTTATTTGAGCATGAGCTTTCATGAGCTACAGCTCACTTCATCGGATGCATACCGTGGATACTGCAGCAGACTTTATATACACACAGATCTCTGTGTGTATATAAAGTCTGCTGCAGTATCCACGGTATGCATCCGATGAAGTGAGCTGTAGCTCACGAAAGCTCATGCTCAAATAAATTGGTTAGTCTCTGTGTGTATATAAAGTCTGCTGCAGTATCCACGGTATGCATCCGATGAAGTGAGCTGTAGCTCACGAAAGCTCATGCTCAAATAAATTGGTTAGTCTCTAAGGTGCCACAAGTACTCCTTTTCTTTTTGCGAATACAGACTAACACGGCTGTTACTCTGAAACCTGTAGATACCATGACATTTCATGCCTGAGATATAGAAGAATAAAGTTATTTGGGGAATCAGCCTTGTGAACCTACGATTCTGATGGCACTTATTCTATTTTCACTCTTTACAGCTTTGGAGCACCTTTAACGCTCCTGAGATGGTCCAATCAGCCCTGAAAAAGTCACTGAAGAGCCTGCAGTTTGACTACATTGATCTCTATATTATTCATACACCCCTATCTTTAAAGGTAAAAAAAAAAGTTCTGGCTGAACACAGGAGAATCTCGTCCCCACTGTTCCCCTTTTGCTTTAAGACAGACCAAATGTTAACTGCTTGATTCAGAGACATTGCTGTAAGGAGCAAAGGGCTTTACAATACCAAACAATTTCCCTATGTATATTTCTTCCAGATCAGATATGAAATGGGCTTTCATTTATATTAGGGATGCAGAGGTAATCAAGGAAACTGATGGACTGAACATCCATCAGGTTTCAGAAAGAACTTTGCACTTAATAATAAAGGTTAAATGTGCTGTGAATATTGAGTTACTGACATGCCACAATAGCTTAATATATTTCCAGAATTTCTCCAGAAAGCAATTCACATCAAGTGTCATACCGAAGGGGAGGTTTATCTGATTATATTATTTCTTTTGTTTTTAAGCCTGGAGATGATTTATGCCCGGTGGATGAAAATGGAAAATTGATTTTTGATAACGTAGACCTTTGTGCCACATGGGAGGTGGGTATTATGTACAAGTATAACATGAAAACACCTATGCAAAACTGTAATGAAAACTTACCAGGCCAGGCACAAACTCTACTTACCCATGAGTGTATGAGAAAACAAAAAATCAGATCTCTATTTCAGGGCATAAGCTAAATTCTAAGAGGGGTTAGGAAGAAACTTTTCCTGGAGGTGGGTTATTTCGTAGCTGTCCATTGTGGATTTCTTTTATCTTCCTCTAAAGCAGCTGGTAGAGGTCACTCTTGGAACAGGAAAAAGTGGGCCACTGGTTTGCTCCAGTATGGTAGTTCCTATGATCCTACTCACCTGCAGAAAAATATTACTCACCTGGGAGAATGGAAGCATGGAATATTGTAAAGCAGAAACAGTCAGTAAGCGGGCCGTGGGCCAAAACTGGGCAGCTAGATGCTTTTGAACAGACCCTGGAATCGTTTTATTTACTTACTATCATTGTTAACATTACAGAGTGAAAAATGTTTCGCTGGAGTCTGGACCTTGACTGTACCTTGACCAAGAAATTTTAACCTTGACAAAAAAATAATTGACCACCCTTTTTGTAAGGCTATGTTAAGATACAAGGCAGTTCTGTTATTAGTCCAGTAATGATGACTAAGGTGTGTTGACAGGGTCCCTCCTGATGCTGTTTTTCTAAAAGAAACAAAGAGCTTCTCTAAACACAAATGTTACTGCTTATTTCCCTTCTGGGGGAAAGAAGCTATGCCAATATTAAGCACCCTTATATCAGTATAACAGCATCAACACCAGGGGGTTTACTTGTACAAATGTTTTGGTTAAAAAAAAACCCAAACCCCTAACTGAGATAGTTATACCTGGTACAAAAACCATGTGTAGACCAGGCCTAAAAATTACATGGTCTCAGGCTGCCATGGAAACCTCCTGGAGGAAAGAGGGGGAGGGGCAAGAAAGAAAATGGAGGAAGAATTAACCTTGATTTTCTTAGCTTTTTTCTTTACTATTGTATCTGTTTTGTTGCTGTAAAGGGGGGATGTACACCACCTATACTTAGGGTGTTCAATCCTCAGGCCCTTTTCCAGCTACTTTGCACTGCTCCGGCAAACCAGCAGGCAAACCATAGTTCATCAAAACTCACGTTGTCGTCACGTGAGAGGCCTGGGACTAGAGCTAGGTAAATGACAGATCTTTCCATTTGGAAAATTCCAAAAAAGGGGGAAAAATGGCTCAGGTTGAACTGAAGCTTTCCAGAGTTTTCTGTGAATTGAAAAAGTCCATTTTGATCTATTCCAAAGCAGGGATTCTCCCTTGGCCTCCCACAACCCAGGTGAGTTCCCTAACCACTAGGCTAAACGTTCTAAAGGGGGTGGCTGCTAGAGTTAACACCTGGCTGGTATTTGGCCAACCTGGCCAGGTTTTTTTATGGATTTGCCAGTTGCCAGAAAAATCATTTAATCCGCCAGGTTTTTTTATGTGGGTCTAAAGATTTGCATTATCACTGGGATATCTGATATATTTGCAATACACTGGGATATCTGATGTTAAAAGTTTCTGTGTCCAGCTAAAGATGCTTCAGTGTTCCCACTTGCACAGTTTAAGCGACAACAGATCAAAACTGTTGAAAGTACAACAGCTGCCTGCCCAGTGCCCACCAACACACAAGTGCACCGCGCATATGAGTGAGAGAGGGTTTCAGTCAAGCGAGCGTGAGGAGACGTACAATGTTATCAGTCTTGTCTATATGTGTTATCTCTCTAGATACGATGAGTGGCTGTCGGGGGGAGTTGCAGAGCTGCCTTGTGGGGTGTGTGTGCTGGGGTTTTTTCATTTCTAAGAAGGTAACCCTAATGGCCGCATCACCATCATCACAATTCCCTCTCCTCCTCTCCATTTTGTGAATTGCCAAAACGATTCATGTCCAGTTCTCGAATAGTTTTGGGTTGATTGAAATTACCTTTTTTGTCAAGTAAACTATTTGTCTGAAAAATGCCTCCCAGCTGTATCCAGGACTGATGACACAGGAGGGTTCTAGGTCAGAACTGAAATGCCCAGGTTTCCCAACTCTCACAGGTTTATTGTGAGTCTCATGATATTTGCTATTTTTCTTAAAACACAACTCCTGGGATGCTGCTGTTGTGTGCAAATCTCAGCTTTCATTTAAACAAAACAAGTAACTTTCTAAACCACGATGAGTTTGGAGAGAAGCTTCTAAACATGACTCAGGTAAACCCTAAAGGTTCAAAAACCAAAAGGTAAATAAAAAGAGCCCCTCCTTTTTTAAGTCTCATGGTTTTTTAACCAGTCTCATGATATTTTAGGGCCTGATTCGTGCTTTTTGAACACTTGGGGTTGGCAATACTGAGTGTACTAACAGATCTCTGTAGGGAAGTAATGCAATGACAGCAAAAAAACAAAGCAGTCTCTAGTCTGTGCTAGTAGGCGCCAGTCCCGCAAGCTGCATTGTGCAGACACTCATGCTATAGGCAGCAGTGACAATGGACCTGACCATATTTTCTTTCCCAGGCCATGGAGGCATGTAAAGATGCAGGCTTGGTGAAGTCCATTGGAGTGTCCAACTTCAACCGCAGACAGCTGGAGATGATCCTGAACAAACCTGGACTCAAGTACAAACCTGTCTGCAACCAGGTAACACTCTGAGCTTCAGCTAAAATGAAGGCCCAGAAAGGTTCGCTGTGACTCCATAAAGAGAACTGGAAAACAAGAGTCATGCAGCAGAGCCTGGGAGAGAGAGAAGGGCTAGAGGACAACCCAAGCCAAGTGGGGCAAAGCCAGGTCACTCTGCACTTTGCTGTGCTTCTCCTTTCTCCTGGAAACACTGATTCAGATAGTAATGAAATTCCATAGAAATCAGACTGTATTTTAAGGGAAAGTATAAGAAAATCTACTCCTGTCTTGGGGGCTTTCTTCTCTGGAAAAAACTCTTGTTTTTAGCCAAGCTTCAATGAGGCTTCCAATATTAAGTGTGCAATTATATTTCAGCTGCTTAACTGCAGGCACATTTCTTTTCGCCTACAACGGTACCCTTTTAAATATCGAGCTGATTTGCAGGTGCAGTCAGGTATTTAGATTTCTCAGGACATGCAGTTACAGGCACCAATAAATATGCCTGCCTTGAACTACGGTCACCGCACTGAAGGCCATTTTGGACATGTAGGATAGAGATAATGGGGTGGGTTGTGTGACTGTCACTGTTTGTACAATCGGAAATCTCCATTTTTCTAATGCTTCAGGTTGAATGTCATCCTTACCTCAACCAAAGAAAATTGCTGGAGTTCTGCAAATCCAAAAATATTGTGCTGGTGGCTTTTAGTGCCTTGGGATCTCACAGAGAGGAGAGATGGTAAGGAAAGAAGCTGACTGTTGAGTCTCATTACTAAAAGAATGCATCTGATTTTCCACTACCTTGATCTTGTGTGGTCATTTACATGGTTGGAAAGTGGGCATAGCATGCTAACAAATTGGCATGGCTGTGTTTTGCACCCATTTGGCACAGATATAAATGACCACACAAGGAGACAGGCAGTGGAGAATTTGGCCTAATATGTTTGCTAAATATCTGATGATAAATAAGTATTGCTTCCAACAGGCTCAGCTCTCACTGATCCCGAGATCAGAAACACTCACTCCGTGTCTGTATTCCCTTGCAGGGTGGATCAAAGCACTCCACTTCTGCTAGAGGATCCAGTACTGAACGCTCTGGCCAAAAAATACAGCCGAAGCCCAGCTCTAGTAGCCCTGCGCTACCAGCTGCAGCGTGGTGTCGTGGTCCTTGCCAAGAGCTTCACCAGAAAGCGTATTGAAGACAACTTCAAGGTAAAGCGGTGGAAAGGAGAAATACCATTAGACACACTCGCAAGTTTGAAAATAGTGGATATAAAATACCACTTTTAGTTCCTGCCCTACATGGACATGGCCTCTCAAGTTGAGGACTGACGGCACCTCCATGCATATAGCCAAACTCCTTAGGACAGGGACTGTCATTTGCCCTGTGTTTGTACAGTCCCTCGCACAATTCAAGCCCAGGTTGGTTAAGGCCACTGGGTGCTACTGCAATATAAAGGTCGCATAGTTATAAAGGGACATTTCAGAGAGAGATTTGTTGGACAAAGGCCAAAGTGTTATCCTGTACATGTTTCTCATCACCAAGTGAACCTATAAGCAACTCAGGCAACACAAATTAATTCATGCAAAGAGGTTTTGTCTGGAATTTCTCTGCTAATCTAGAGCCAAATTCTGAGGTCTTTACTTAGTTTCTGTTCAGTTGTTCAGTTCAATTGTTACTCAATGTTGACTTGGGCAAAACTCACATCGTCCTCAGTAAGTAACGATTGGGTGAGAACTTCAGTATCTGGCCTTTGATGCACATGCAGACACTCTTCTAGCAGCAGTGTGCTGGGCCCATAACCCAGAGGGTAGTGCAGGGGTCGGCAACCTATGGCACGCATGCCAAAGACAGCACACGAGCCAATTTTTAAGGACACGCTGCTGTCTGCCTACCCTGGCAGACAGCAGCGTGCCATTAAAAATCCTGCCCTGCCCGGCCCGCTCTTCTCCACCCTCCGCCCACCGCTCTCTCCTTGCAGGCAGGCAAGCTTCCCCCTCCCCCCCGCCTCTTCCCCCAGCGTGCTGGGTTCCTGCCCCTCCTCCTCTCGATCAGCTGACAGCCCTTGCTATGGAGGGGAGAGGTAAAAGCGGACCCACAGCGTGCTCTCTGCTCCGGAGACCTTGGGGAAGGGGGTGGAATTGGCATATCCCCTCCAGCCCCCTGCCGTGAGCCGCTCAGGGCAGGGGGCTGGGAGCACCCCAGCCCTCTGTCCTGACCCCTGCACCCCCTCACACCCCAGCCCTCTGCCCTGACCCCTGAACCCCCCACACCCCAGCCCTGACTCTGGCACCCCCCACACATACCCAGCCACCCCACACCCCATGCCCTGACTCTTGCACCCCCCACATCCCCTCCCCACTCTGAGCACCAAACGGGAGCTCCTGCACACACACACACACACACCCCACACACATTCCCACCTGCACCCCTCACACCAAATGGAAGCTGCCCAGGTAAGCGCTCCACACCCAAACCTCCTGCCCCAACCCTGAGCCCCCTCCCTCATTCTAGCTCCTGGCCAGACCCTGCACCCCAACCTGCTCCTTCACCCCCAGCCCTGTGCTTAGCGCACTCCCACCCTCAGCTCAGTGCAGAGAGAGGAAGAGAATGGGTAGAACCAGGGAGAAGGTAGGTACCTACTCTATGTGGACAGGGCCGGGACCCCGGACCAGCAGCGGGCTGAGAGGGGCTGGCAGCCGGGACCTGGCTGGCAGGAGCCCGCGGACAGAACCCCAGACTGGCAGTGGGCTGAGCGGCAGCAGGCTGAGCTGCTCAGCCCATTGCTGGTCTGGGGTCCTGGCAGCCGGCCCCACTCCGCCCACTGCCGGTCTGGGGTTCTGGCTGCCAGCCCCTTGCCAGCCAGGGTCCCGGCCACCGGCCCCGCTCAGCCCGCTGCTGGCCTAGGTGAACAGAACCCAAAGCCAGCAGTGGGCTGAGCAGGCCAGGGGAGTAAGATCAGTATTTTAATTTAATTTTAAATGAAGCTTCTTAATCATTTTGAAAACCTTGTTTACATACGACAACAGTTTAGTTATATAATGTATTGACTTATAGAGAGAGACCTTCTAAAAAACATTCAGATGTATTACTGGCATACAAAACCTTAAATGAAAGTGAATAAATGAAGACTCGGCACACCACTTCTAAAAGGTTGCCGACCCCTGGGTTAGTGGATTGAAATCATCCTCTACTAGGTTGCATTTGGGAGAGGGAGTTGGTCCAGTAGCTGGGGCACTGGACTAGGCTGTGGAAGTTGCAGGTTCCATTCCCTACTCTGCCACGGACTTCCTTCGGCAAGTCAGTTACTCTCTCTCTCTCTCTGCCTGAGTGTTGTTTTCCATTATAAATGTGGATGATGATTGAGATGCTTCCCTACCTCCTAGTGGTGTTGTGAGTATAAACACAATAAAGATTGGAAAGTGCTTTGAAATCTACTGATGAAAAATGCTATATAAGAAATAGGTATTAATTATTATTATTATTATTATTATTTCAGTGACTGACACTCTCAATGACAAGCATGTTAGAACGAATGAAATCCCTTCCTGCTTTATGAAGGGCCAATTTGGTCCATCCCATAGGCAAATCTGATGATTAGCATTTTTTTCTCTGATAGGTGTTTGACTTCCAGTTGACAGAGGAGGACATGAAAGCCATTGATAGCCTGAACCAAAACCTTCGCTATGACCTGTGTCAACAGTGAGTTGCAGTACTTGGGTTTTAAGAATTTTTAAGTGTGCGGAAATCAACTGTGGGCCATACAGCCGGACAAAAGACAGATTGTGGCTAGTCTCACAGCACTGTCAGGTTTGATACCTTCCTGCAGGTCCTGCAATGCAGCAGGCAGTGGAAATTTGGAATCTAAGACTCACCATCAGTTTTTTGCTCCCTAGACAGCACAGACTAGAAAGTTCTTGGAGTGGCTTTCAGTAATTGCTGTGGTCGGACGCTGAAAAGATCTCACTGGCAGGAAGCTCTTCCTGACAGTCAGACCTGTCTTCATCATCCTATTAATTCCGGTTATATCCTTTTATACAGATATTAAATAATCCTTGATGATTATCATAAGTGTTGCATAGTTTGCATAATGCAAATATAGATGTCACATCTTAACTGCTTGCAGTTTGCATGGGGATATTTCATGGAAATTAAACAGCTGTTATCTGCATTTTGTTTTTTAGATTTTTGGACCATCCTGAGTATCCATTTGCTGATGACTATTAAAGAGGATCCATTTGCAATTCCTGTGTTGTTAGCAACTAGTAATAATGCTCTATACTTAGGGCCAATTCTAGAGGGAAAATACCATTTATAACACTGTTGCCATCACCTTCTCTACTGTGTAATTTAACCTACACGGTAAGGAGATAAAACTCATCCTTACAATGACTTGCCTTCTTGCTTTTGATAATGTTGAGTGGGAAAAGGGGTATTTTGAATATAGTTATCAGTTCCTGCCCCGATCTTTCATAAATATTTTGTCTTCATTCTGAGCTGCTAGAACTTAATCCCTTGGAATGAACCGTGCCTCCTGAAAATCTCAGCCAAGCTAGTATGTAAAAACTTAGTGACTAACCAAATATTAGGTGGTGGTATAGCCTTGTTAATTCCAGGATTTTAAGTAGACAAGGTGGGTGAGGTATTATCTTCTATTGGATCAGTTTCTGTAAGTCAATGAGACAAGCTTTTGAGTTACACATAGCCTATGCAACCTGAAGGAGAGCTCTGTGTAAGCTCAAAAGCTTGTCTCTTTCACCAACAGAAGTTGGCCCTATAAAAGATATTACCTCACCCCCCTTGTCTCTCAAACATCAGGTACTCATTTGTGGCTCAGTCCTGGAGCACTCCCATGGGAGTGGAGGATGCTCAGGTTTGGTGTCAGCTAGCATCTCACTGAACTCATCAGGCACAAATTTTCACTTAACACAATCCTCTGCCCTCACAACAAAGATGTCCCAGTATCTGTCAAACTAAATGAAGAGGAAATAGAAGCTCTGAGCTCCATTTAGAGACATGTTTAGCATATTTCATTTGACTCCATCATAGTAATAAAAGCTCTCACTACACCCATTTCTTTTGCTTTTCCTCCATTTCTTTTATATGCTGACAAGAAGGGGCTTGGTCACACTGGGTTTAAAGCAATCTGCAATTCTCAGGGAAGCAGCTGGCTGGCTCTGCTGCCCTCTGGTGGCTACCAGGAAATTCTGACATAGGAAACAGGTTTCAGAGTGGTAGCCGTGTTAGTCTGTATCAGCAAAAACAACGAGGAGTCCTTGTGGCACCTTAGAGACTAACAAAACTATTTGGGCATAAGCTTTCATGGGCTAAAACCCACTTCATCAGATGCATGGAGTGGAAAATACAGTAGCAGGTATATATACACAGTACATGAAAAGATGGGAGTTGCCTTTCCAAGTGGGGGGTCAGTGATAACGAGACAATTCAATTAAAGTGGAAGTAGCCTATTCTCAACAGTAGAATACCAAGGGAGAAAAAATCACTTTTGTAGTGGTAATGAGGGTGGCCCATTTCAAACAGTAGAAAAGAAGGTGTGAGTAACAGTAGGAGGAAATTAGTATGGGGACATTGGTTTTTGTAATGACCCATCCACTCCCGGTCTTTATTCAGGCCTAATTTGATGGTGTCCAGTTTGCAAATTAATTCCAGTTCTGCAGTTTCTGGCTGAGGTCTGTTTTTTGAAGTTTTGTTTGTTTGTTGAAGAATTGCCACTTTTAAGTCTGTTATTGAGTGACCAGGGAAATTGAAGTGTTCTCCTACTGGTTTTTGAACGTTATAATTCCTGATGTCAGATTTGTGTCCATTTTTTCTTTTGCGTAGAGACTGTCCGGTTTGGCCAATGTACATGACAGAGGGGCATTGCTGGCACATGATGGCATATATCACATTGGTGGATGTATGTACTGTGTATATATACCTGCTACTGTATTTTCCACTCCATGCATCTGATGAAGTGGGTTTTAGTCCATAAAAGCTTATGCCCAAATAAATTTGTTAGTCTCTAAGGTGCCACAAGGACTCCTCCTTGTTTTTGCTGACATAGGAAAGTGGACTTAAAAGATAAGAAGTAAAGTAAGGGACAGGCACCTGTCCTCTACACACAGACTTCTGCCCTGTTAAGATGGAAATTAGTTTTGCTGTGAAGAGATGAAATCCCTGAGGTCTTACATGCTTCATGTCTTTAATGAGAGGAGTTTCTTTGATTCTGTTCCTAATTCTGTAGAACTATGTTTTGTGAGACTGATGTATTCATGTGTTAATGCAGCATTCAGGATGGGATTTTAATCACAAGTCAAATGTTTTATAGTCAGAGATGCCACCACAATTCCAGGCTTCTTAGCCTATGCATCATAATATGGCCTTTCAATATATAATAACACAATATATTTGCAGTCCAGTAACACAAAATACTAAATCTGTGCATCCACAGTGATGGACAGTGGCACTGGCTTTGCATTGCATTATGTACCCCATAGTACCTCCAAGTGCTCAGCATGAGAATGTAAAGAAAACCTTACTGCTGTGGGGAAAATACTGAATTTCTAAACTTCTGCCCAGTTTCAATTGCACCATTAACATGGCTTTGTGGGTAATTGCCCTCCACACACAAAAAATACTGGGCCTCATTCTCCATTTACTCACAGCAGTGTAAGAAAGGGGTAACTCCATTGAAGCCAAATGAGTTGTGCTGGTGTGAAAATCATGTAAGTGAAAGGAATTGGGCCCAGTATCTTAACATTCTAATTCCACAGTGAATTGACCACAGCTGTGTGTGTTCCATACACATATGAAACTGGTGGTGGTAAATTGGGGGGGAGTTAACAGCAGAGTTTTGTTAAGTGATCTAGATATATCCCCAAATACCAGGCCATGGAAGGAAATAAGGGCAGCTCAGTTGCTCTGGGAGTGGAGAAGAGACTCCTTGATTGAGGTGGAAGTGTGTCTCGGGGCAGGTGGCCAGAAGCGAAGAAATGGTTGTCAGTGAGAGGCGGGGGTGGGGTGTAAAGGAAGCTGGGGAGAAGGGCAAACTTTTAGTTAAACCAGGCCCAAGTTACGCTTGACCTGCCTCTGATTCATAGTCCATCACAGCAGAGAATACCCTTTAACAGAATCCAAGCAGTAAGTTGTCAACTGTTATTAATATTAGTATATTACTATAATATTAATATAATACAAGTTTCAAATAAAATGCAGTAGAACCGAATAGATTGCCCATACAATGGTGTAATTACCTGCTAATTAACTATAATCAGTCTCTCAGTTACACTCTCACTCTTTCACCTGCCCTTTCCCCGTCCTGAAAGCCCCTTTAAAATATACATAAGAAAAAAAAATCTATGACTTATGGGCATGATCTTGGGAATTTCATCATGATAACAATCAAGACAGAACACACACAGCTCGTGTCGCTATTCAGTCAGCACTACACTTATTCTTATCAGATATGACGTGAACGCCAGTGCAGATATTCCAGGATGATCTAGTCTAGGTACAGAAAGCAGTCTCTGCAGCACTGCCCAATGTCACTGTCTCGTTCCCAGAACTAGCTGCACATGAGCACTGTAAAATGTGGTCCTAATCAAAAATGATATCTTTCTCTACCGATAAAATGTGAAAGCTCGTGTACCTGATGATGAGACTTTATAAATATGTGTACTTCTGATTTTTACTTGTCACTGATGTCCAATCCGCTTCCTTCCTAATTCCCAAGTCCTCCCTCCAACTGCATGACGCTGACATTGGAGCCAATGTGCAAGCTGAACCAAGGGCACAAGGAGGTCACGAATATGTGGCATAGTATAAAGATTTTTTCTGCTGATTAAGATGATTTTCATTTTCTTCATAGACCCACTCCCTCTTGTGCAGCCTAGAAAGCAGGAGGAAGCGTGGTTGAGAGCAGTCTGCAGAGCACAGTCATGGGCAGCAGCAGGCATGAGTGAGAATGACAATTTCTGTGCAGCAGCCACCAGAAAAAGACAATGGCAATTGGTGGGGGCCGGCAGAGGCAACGCTTTGGGGGGGGCAGCACACAGCCCCCCCATATTTCTTGGACCCTCTCTCACTGGGACACCCAGCAGCAAGAGGCAGTAGCTCCCCCTGGCTGTGTGTCTGTGCAGTGTGGAAAGGGAGGATGCATCAGGGCATCTGGCTGAGCTCTCCCCTTCCCACCCACACACACCTGCCCCACTACATGGGGCTGCTTCTTCTTCCCTGCTGCTGGAGACCCAGTGCTTCCCGCTGCCTGCTTTGCAGACCACCCACTGAGGTGAGTCAGGGGGGCATATTCAAGATCAGGAAGAGGAGCTGCGACATGGTGGTGATGTGGTGCTCAGCGCCAGGCAGCTAAGATGGAGCTCCCTCCAGCCCGAGAACCTCAGAGGAGAGTGGGAAAGAGGGAGCAGACCCTGCTGCTGCTTCAATGCATCCGCAACAGCAGCTTGCTGCTGCTGGGGGTGCACTGAAGCAGCAGCAGCCTCCAAGGTGCATATCAACGGGAAGACGATTTGGGGGTGTCATTATTTCGCCCACCCCCAACAAAAAGCGACCGATAATTCTCCAACTTCTTGTTAAGTGAGGTGATCCAGCCCTAACCACCATCCCACCCTAGCGCCACCCACCCTGATGGCGCACGGGGGACTATGCATCCCAACTCCGTTGCTCCTTTTGTTGGTCTTGATTTGAACACTTACTAAATTGATTGAGGATTGTTCAGGCAGGGAGGGGTGCCTACAAGTTCTGTGGGCAGCACAGGGCAGAGAGCAGGAGGAGGAAGGTGGTTGCTCTTCTCTGTTGTCTACATACATATCAAGTTCCAGGAGGTGGAGGCAGAGGCAACACGGGGGCGGTCTCGTGCCCCCACAGAACCTTCCCACTCCCCCATACACACACTATACACAGTGATGTGTCGCCGCTGAGCTGAGTTCAGGTCTCCCACTCTGTCGTACTGATGGATTTGTAGATATTCTTCTTGGAGCACGGCTGTCAGATTCCATAAATAGGATGGGGCCTGCGTAGAGCCCCCAAGTCCCTGAAGCAGGCCTGGATGAGGCTACTGGGGATTCTTTCTCATGTACACCAGGAGATATGCAGTTTCACCCCTAGCAGAAGAAAAGAGCAAAACAAATGTGTGCATGAGGCAGGCTGTAGTTAGACACACTCCCCAAAGTTAGCTTTTTTTTCAGTTGTCCTACCACAGGGTCAGGTGACCTCATCCTTCCTTTTGGACTCCAGATAGCACTGTAATTGTGACAGAGTAAAGGTGCTATATTGGCAGCATGGATTCTTTCTACCTTTCACTCTCTGATGATTTATCAGTGCAGAGGGAGGAGCGAGAGAGACCCTGACTATAACACCCTCAAGTGTTTAGCACCTCGCTCTCTTTAGAGACTGGGAGGCAATGGGGGGTGAACAATGAAAGATCGCTTTTGCTCACACACTTGTGACTGTACAGTATTGCTACAGCTAAGTAATAGTGTATTACCACGGCCATGTGAGAAGTTGTCTCCTTCCCCCAAGTTTATTCCAGACAAACACAATTGAAATTATTTTCGTACCACCACTAACCCCATTCCTTACCCCAGAGCACCATCAGATAAATGAAAATACACCCCCTTACCAGTGGAAATGTGAGTTTCCATAGGTACATTTGACATCATCCCACGATACCTGCAGTGAATCAAACATGAGAGTGCTGGTAAGAACTCTTTTGAGTTGTGGTTAGACACAGTATAGACTCTCAGACTTTAAGGTCAGACAGGACCATTGTGATCATCTAGACTGACCTCCTGCAGAGTTAGGGTTAGAGGTCACAGAATCTCACCCTCCCACTCCTATAATAGACCCATAACCAGTGATGAGCTGCCAAAATCTTAACAACTGGTTCCCTATAAAAAGTTCTCATTTACGGGATGTGCCCCAGTATGTATTTTTTGCACCAACAGGGTTACCATACGTCTGTATCTTCCCAGGAGGAATTTTTAAATTTTAAAAATTCCTCCCGGACGCTGATTTAAGAACCAAAAAGCCTGACCTGTCCGGGAAAATACGGATGT